CCCCACATGACTACCCCACATGACTACCCCACATGACTACCCCACATGACTGACTAAACCACATGACTACCCCACATGACTACCCCACATGACGACCCCATATAACTACCCCAACATGACTACCCCACATGACTACCCCACATGACCCCACATGACTACCCCACATGACTACCACACACGACTACCCCACATGACTACTCCACATGAATACCCCTTATGACTACCCCACATGACTGACTAAACCACATGACTACCCCAACATGACTACCCCACATGACTACCCAAACATGACTTCCCCAACATGACTTCCCCATATGACTACCCCACATGACCCCACATAACTACCCCACATGACTACCCCACATGACTACCCACATGACTACCCCACATGACTACCCCACATGACTGACTAAACCACATGACTACCCCACATGACTACCCCACATGACTACCCCACATGACTACCCCACATGACTACCCCACATGACTACCCCACATGATTACCCCACATGACTACCCCACATGACTGACTAAACCACATGACTACCCCACATGACTACCCCACATGACTACCCCACATGACTGACTAAACCACATGACTACCCCACATGACTACCCCACATGACTACCCACATGACCCCACATGACTACCCCACATGACTACCCCTCATGACTACCCCACATGACTACCCCACATGACTACCCCACATGACTACCCCACATAACTGTCTAAGCCACATGACTATCCCACATGACTACCCCACATGACTACCCCACATGACTGCCTAAACCACATGACTACCCCACATGACTACCCCACATGACTACCCCACATGACTACCCCACATGACTACCCAACATGACTACCACACATGACTACCCCACATTACTAACCCACATGATCCCCACATGACTTCCCCACATGACTACCCCACATGACTACCCCACATGACTACCCCACATGACTGACTAAACCAAATGACTACCCCACATGACTACCCCACATAACTAACCCACATGACTACCCCACACGACCCCACATGACTACCAAACATGACTGACTAAACCACATGACTACCCCACATGACTACCCCACATGACTACCCCACATGACTGACTAAACCACATGACTACCCCATATGACTACCCCACATGACTACCCCACATGACTACCCCACATGACTACCCCACATGACTGACTAAACCACATGACTACCCCACATGACTACCTCACATGACTACCCCACATGACTACCCCACATGACTACCCCACATGACTACCCCACATGACGACCCCACATAACTACCCAAACATGACTACCCCACATGACTACCCCACATGACTACCCCACATGACTGACTACCCCACATGACTACCCCACATGACTACCCCACATGACTACCCCACATGACTACCCCACATGACTGACTAAACCACATGACTACCCCATATGACTACCCCACATGACTACCCCACATGACTACCCCACATGAATACCCCACATGACTGACTAAACCACATGACTACCCCACATGACTACCCCACATGACTTCCCCACATGACTACCCCACATGACTACCCCACATGACTACCCCACATGATTACCCACATGACCCCACATGACTACCCCACATGACTACCCCACATGACTACCCACATGACCCCACATGACTACCCCACATGACTACCCCACATGACCCCACATGACTACCCCATATGACTACCCCACATGACTACCCCACATGACTACCCCACATGACTACCCCACATGACTGACTAAACCACATGACTACCCCACATGACTACCCCACATGACTGACTAAACCACATGACTACCCCACATGACTACCCCACATGACTACCCCACATGACTACCTCACATGACTACCCCTCATGACTACCCCACATGACTACCCCACATGACTACCCCACATGACTACCCCACATGACTGACTAAACCACATGACTACCCCACATGACTACCCCACATGACTGCCTTAACCACATGACTACCCCACATGATTACCCCACATGACTACCCACATGACCCCACATGACTACCCCATATGACTACCCCACATGACTATCCCACATGACTACCCCACATGACTACCCCACATGACTGACTAAACCACATGACTACCCCACATGACTACCCCACATGACTACCCCACATGACTACCCCACATGACTACCCCACATGACTACCCCACATGACGACCCCACATAACTACCCCACATGACGACCCCACATAACTACCCCACATGACTACCCCACATGACTACCCCACATGACTGACTACCCCACATGACTACCCCACATGTCTACCCCACATGACTACCCCACATGACTACCCCACATGACTACCCCACATGAATACCCCACATGACTACCCCACATGACTCACTAAACCATATGACTACCCCAACATGACTTCCCCACATGACTACCCCACATGACTACCCCACAAGACTACCCCACATGACTACCCCACATGATTACCCACATGACCCCACATGACTACCCCACATGACTACCCACATGACCCCACATGACTACCCACATGACCCCACATGACTACCCCACATGACTACCCCACATGACTAGCCACATGACTACCCACATGACTACCCCACATGACTACCCACATGACCCCACATGACTACCCCACATGACTACCCCACATGACTACCCCACATGACTAGCCACATGACCCCACATGACTACCCACATGACCCCACATGACTACCCCACATGACTACCCCACATGACTACCCCACATGACTACCCCACATGACTGACTAAACCACATGACTACCCCACATGACTGTCTAAACCACATGACTACCCCACATGAATACCCCACATGACTACCACACATGACTGCCCCACATGACTACCCCACATGACTACCCCACACGACTACCCCACATGACTACCACACATGACCCCACATGACTACCCACATGACTACCCCACATGACTACCCACGTGACCCCACATGACTACCCCACATGACTACCCCACATGACTAGCCACATGACCCCACATGACTACCCACATGACTACCCCACATGACTACCCACATGACCCCACATGACTACCCCACATGACTACCCCACATGACTACCCCACATGACTACCCCACATGACTGACTAAACCACATGACTACCCCACATGACTACCCCACATGACTACCCCACATGACTACCACACATGACCCCACATGACTACCCACATGACTACCCCACATAACTACCCCACATGACTACCCCACATGACTACCCCACATGACTGACTAAACCACATGACTACCCCACATGACTACCCCACATGACTACCACACATGACCCCACATGACTACCCCACATGACTACCCCACATGACTACCCCACATGACTACTCCACATGACTACCCCACATGACCCCACATGACTACCCACATGACTACCCACATGACTACCCACATGACCCCACATGACTACCCACATGACCCCACATGACTACCCCACATGACTGACTAAACCACATGACTACCCCACATGACTACCCCACATGACTACCCCACATGACTACCCCACATGACTACCACACATGACTACCACACATGACTACCCCACATGACTACCCCACATGACTACCCCTCATGATTAACGTACACCTCATGATTGACTAAACCTCATTTACTACCCCACATGTCAATCCTTATGGCGACCAATCTTAATTACCCCCGATGATTACCCCCCCCCATGATTACCCCTCATGATTACCCCTCATGACTACCCCATATGTCAATCCTTATGGCTACCCCTCATAATTACCCCCCCCCCCCCCCCCCCAATGATTACCCCCATGATTACCCATCATGACTACCCCTCATAGCTAGTGAAAACAAAAAAAAACAAAGCAGAATGATCCACTGATTCTGACCTCCTACTTTGAATGTCTGCGGTGAGTTTAACGGTACCCTGGAGGTGCTGATGACTGTTGTCTGGTTCGAGTTGGTCAGTGTGATGACGTCCCTGTCCAGGATGTACACAACATCTTTTGGGATGTGATGTATTGTCACCACCTGGTCAATGTACACGTTAGTGATAGTTTAACTGGTCAATGTACACCTTAGTGAGAGTTTAGCTTGTCAATGTACGCGTTAGTGAGAGTTTAGCTGGTCAATGTACACGTTAGTGAGAGTTTAGCTGGTCAAAGGTTGACAATAAGAAAATATTTCTCGTTATAAAAAGTGATGATATTAATAACGTGTTTATCAATCAACACCCACATAACACTATGCTTTGGAAATAGTTTGTATTCAGGCCCACACACAGAAAAGATTGCTCCATGAAAAAAAAACACCCTTCGATTTCTTATAAGATTTCTACGCTGTATTTTAGTAAAAAAAAGTCTGGTTAAAATAATTGATGAAAATAAATAAATTTGCGTCTAGCTCGTTTTCTAAAATACAAAAATTACGTTAAGCATCCATTGGATCTCAATTTTCTTAAAAAGGTTTCATAAAAATTGTAGTAGCATGAATCAAAGGTGGAATCCTAGTTTTATATACGGTTTCCATTAACTTCATGAATACAGGACGAGTAGTTAACGTTACTAATAGAAATTTAATGTTTAACTTATATTTAATGTTTAGAAAAATCGTCCAGACTTTCTACATTATAGACTGTTCAGCTTTAAAAATATAAAAAATTGATTGAATCGTCAATCAAACACATTTATATCTACCTTTTGAAAATAACAGCATAAATACATAGTACATACCTTATACCAACTATACGTTCCGTTATAATCATACTCTCTTCTGGCGTCTACAACAACGTCTTCTGTCTGTAGTAAGGTCAAAGTGCAAAGGGTACAGTACTCATACGTCACACCATCAAACGTGCGAATAGCACAGTGAAGTCCGGAGACGCACGTACGGAACGGTAGCCGAAGGTTTGGTTGAATCACAGATTTCTTAGCATTTTCTGGATACAAGAATCACATTACAGAATCACTGAATTTTACAATAAAATTATTCATGCTAATTAACACATAGAAACAACAAACATTCACGTTTCGTGATAAAAACATATGGCTATTCTTAACTACGTGACAGGAAACACATGACCTTTCCTACCCACATGATAAAAACACATGACATTTTCAACCCACGTGACAAGGAACACATGACCTTTCCTACCCACGTGACATATAACACATGACCTTTCCTACCCACGTGACATATAACACATGACCTTTCCTACCCACGTGACATATAACACATGACCTTTCCTACCCACGTGACAGGTAACACACGACCCTTCCTTTCCACTGATTCCCCACGACGCAAGTTCTCCTAGACAGCAGACGTCTTTGCTCACGGCTGTTCCGTTAAACAGTTTGTTGCCATGGCAACCCTTTTTTGGATAACAGTATCTCAAAGAGGAGTTGATTACTATGAAAAAAATATTTAACATGTAATTTTTATGATTACATATAATTTGAATGTCGGTTATCAATTTATTTATTACAATGTCAAATAACAAAAAATATTAACAACATCAAACTAATAAACAAACAAAATAAGTAAGTATTCTGAAAATGTCAAGTAAACATCTGTCTCTCCTATGACTTTTAGAGCTAAAAAATCCCTTTCTTAGGAGTGTCACTGGGTCTGGATATGGGGTGCGGGGGGGGGGGGGGGGGGGTAGCTGGGTCTCACCCTACCCCCCCCCCTCCAACAATAGTGAATGTTCGGTTCGGTGTCGCCCCTCCCCCTACAACTTTATTTCTTTAACAGGATAAAACATTGCTTTAACAGTAAAGTTTACGATTTTTCAATTTGGTGTCACCCCTCTCCACTACTATTTTATTTCTTTAACAGGATAAAATATCTTTAACAATAAAGTTTAAGATTTTTCAATTTGGTGTCACCCCTAAATTGTGATGACCTCACCCTCCCCCTTCTTTCCTGTGACGCTACTACCTTTTCGTGTTCTACAAAGCTAATCCCAAAATAATTGCCTAAACTCTAAAAAGATTCCCTAATTGTAAGACCGTTAAACTCTAACCTTTCTTCTCCTCGTCGCACGCGCTGGCCGTCCACCCAGTATCGCACGTGCACGTGTCCGGGCCAGTGCACTTGCCGTGAGCACAGGCCGGTGAGCACGTCACTGAAACACGGGCAGGAGATTAATGAGTTCGGGCTTTCAAATAAGGGATAGGAAATGGGAGCAATCTAGTGGTTGGAAAAAAAAACTTAACAACTAGATGAAACCCGTTGAAACAATGAAAATCTTTTTAAAAGATTCAAACAGGTTAAAAGAATGTGAATGGACATTTTTTTAAACGAAAATAGAGATTTTGGTGAAATGGTTTTGTCATCACATAGGTCTTTATATTCACATCACGATTTTGGAGGGAAACAGTTTTATTTGAAGTCCTGTACATCATGTTTACGAAACGGGTGACCTGCGCTTGTTGCTTAGCAACCACGGTTTATTTACCAACATCACAGTTGTCCCCCGTCCATCCTGCGCAGCAATTTTCTTCCTCATGGGAGACCATTCTGGAAAAAATAAACAATTTCCTCACTTTATTATTGGAGGATTTAGTCTGAGTTTAAATTTCAAAGCTTAAGAAACGTACACATTTATAAAAAAGGAAGACCCACTTTTTACATAATATAGAGTTATAAAACATTTTTGTAGAATAAAAACCCACTTATTATAAAGCTTTCTTCGTCAGAAGTATACACTGTTTTAAATATTGTTACTGTTATATGTTAGGCACTAATTAAAATGTAACAACGTTGCAACAAAAAATAAAATTGTACAACAAAACTCCACACCATGCCCTCTACGTTCTATATTTATTCATGGTAACAAATCTCCTGATTTCTGCCTTTCCCCCCCCCCAAAAAAAAAGCCTACCGCCCCCCTCTCCCCATACGAAATTGAATTTATATAGAAAATATATACTTTTAAATGTATCCGTTCTCCCTGACATTTAACCCCCCCCCCCCCCCCAATTTCAAGCACCCCTTCTCCCAGGAGAAAAAAGTCTGGAAGAAACGAAGATCGTGTGAGGACGTAGGTCTCAATGTCTTAAAGCCATATTCACACACTATTTGTGTATATTTACGTGACTGTGTTTACTAACCAAGCTTTCACGTCATGTGAATGGAAAATTTAAATTTAAAACATTTAAGAACAACAGAAATACGAAACACAGTTTTAAAAAACCATACCAACGAAATAAAAAAACAACGATGAACTACCTAAAGATGACGCAGTTGCCGATGCCGTTCTGTATTTTCCTGATCAGTTGAGCCGAGTCGTCTGTCCAGTTGTTTATTCGTTTCGTCTCGGCTTTGTCCAGCTGCCAGATGCCGATGACCAGGAGTGGGATCGCCTGCTCACACTTGACGGTCCGGGCTGTTTGGTTTAACGTCTGGTACACGCATCGCCTAGAGTGGGGGTGGGGGGGGGGATTAGTAGCATTTGAGTGACCTCTTAATGATGTCAGCATTCGTTGACATCTTAGCAATGTCAGCATTGGATGATATCTTAGCGATGTCAGCATTGGATGATATCTTAGCGATGTCGAAATTAGATTATTTTAATAATTATAGAATAACTTTTTGATGTAAGGGATATAATTTTTTTTGACGTCTTAGTGTTATTTTCTTACGTCTTAATGACATTTGGATAAGAAATATTTTTGTGACGTCTTAGTGGTACTTGGATAAGAAATATTTTTGTGACGTCTTAGTGATATCTGAATAAGAAACGTTTTTGGTCTGGATGATTTTGCGATATTTAGATAAGAAATATTATCGTGACGTCTTTACAATACCAGTATTAGAAATATGTTTGTGAAGTCTTTGTGACGTCTGTATTAGAAAAAAAAATGTCTGCCTTGTATCAGTACACACCGTCATGGCGATGTAAGGACTAGAAACATTTTTGTGACGTTTATCAGTATTCACCATCCTACTGATTTCAAGATGAATTCCGTGCTCCGCCAAGATATTTACACTGTACGAGATCGCGGTGGGGGGGGGGGGGTAGCTTTGAACCAGGAACCAGACCAGATTATGTGGTGATCTTTAATATTCGGGCCCACCACTCCCAATGAAAAAGCTGATTCAACCCAACACGACAGTTACTACAAAGAACTTGGACGTTACTATACCATAGAAACACCAAGCTGTAAGCGCGCCTAGTAGGCCCCTCTCTTCCTCTCTAGGCATATCCCTACCACCCCACATGGTCTGGTGAGCTGTGGTTCATGCTAAATGTTTACAATCGTAGAGCCGGGCTTAGTGACGGCTAATAGGGGCAGATAATTTAGTTTGAAAAGATTTTAAACTTAGGGGAGGTAACTAAGAGAAGACTACTTTTACGGGGGGGGGGGGGATGGGAAAAAGGGTGTGGGGGGGGGGGGGAGTTTATCGTCCTTAACGACCTACTGATAGTGTTTTAAAACAAATATTTTCAGTGGCAGCATTGGTACTGTCGAATTCACAAATTATGAATTACTGAAAAGTAGAAAATAAAACAACTAAATAGCGGCGTATGATACGCCGCTGGTCGGCTCGTGTGATATATTGCAGCACAACAGGATGCACCTCAGTCAAACCTTACGCAGCTGGCAAATGTCTTTTGTTGATTCGAAATGTCTATTGTTGTAATACTCTGATTCAAAATCTACTTCGATGAAAATATCTATTTTTGTAATACTCAAATTCAAAATGTCTGTTGTTGTAATACTCTAGTTCAAAATCCACTTCGATGAAAATGTCTATTGTTTTGATACTCTGATTCTAAATGTATTTCGATGGAAAATGTCTATTGATGTTATACTCTGATTCTAAATCTACTTCGATGACAATGTCTATTGTCGTCATACTCTGATTCAAAACCTACCTCGATGGAAAATATCTGTAGGCTTAGTACGTAAAAAGAAATTATACCTTGATGTAAAACGTTGTAAATCTATCTCAGATACCTACTCAGCAGAACTCCAGTTGGGTGTAAGCCACACGAGCAGGAAAATGTTAAAGACAAATCCGAATCTGATGCCAGTATCCAGCCATGTTGCCATGACGACGTGTAGTAATCCAAAGCACTAATAAACACACAGTAATAACCCTCAGTAACAACGTAACTAAAATCTTCACACCTGCATGAATAAGCCTTTGCTTCAGATTAAAACCCACCTGTAAATACATTGATCTGGCCGACACATCTAACGATCACCAGGCTGATTGAGGTTGGCTAGATAATTAACCTACCTAAGCAATGACGCAGCTTAATTAAAATAAACCATTAAAAAATCCTAAAGACAGGGGCATACAAGGGTATACACATTGTTTACAGGCGACAATTGCTACTTCACACACGTTGAATGTTTATAAAGTTACACCTAGAACGCTGTTACTTATTTTATAGCGAGTTTTAAAGGTATCTAGCCATATAATTAACCATTGTCTCTTTATATACCAAAGTCATAGAAAAGGTGAGCTTTACTTCATCAACCTCATAACTATTTGTGTCAGTTGTTAGTCGTTAGCACTGTATAGGTTAAACGAAACGAAGGAAACTGTCAAATAGATGCTGAACGATGTGCGTTTTGCTGAACACTGAAATAACTCCTCAGGAAAAACAGGAGTCCATCCAGCTCTGATGAGTACCTAACTCACGTTGGGGGAAAGTACAGGCAGTTAGTACTGAATACCCAATCCCTGCATATGCAGAGGTCAAGAAGAATGTGAAATCTACTTCACCTTTATTTTTTAAAACATCTAACACAAATTTGAAAGTAATAAATATCAATAACTAAAATCCCAAACTTATATCCTACATCATCTTTGGCTTTGACTCAGAGCGTCAGAATTGCTTCAGGATCCGCTCTACGGTGGAAGGGACATAATTTCACGTTGACCGATACGCCCCATATGAAAATATTCGTATTAATCATCAATGGCTATTCACTTATTGTTGATAAAAAGGCACCAAAATCTCCAATAAAACTGACCTTAAGAAATTAATATCAACAAGTAAAAACAACTTTGTGATTTTTATATTGCAAAACATTTATTAACATGATAATGTACATCGGAGTTCTAGATTTCTCTAATTAGTATAGGGGTAAGGAGCTAAAATAATATGTTACACTCGCTAGATACGTCACAGAGATTCGATTATCACAATCGCAGCAAACATATTGATTATGTTAACTCAAAGTTCATTGGTCAGTGAGGATCACGTGACAACAGCTGAGCAATTATGACAAACCATTTTTAAATAATATACATAATTATCAATGTTTTCTTTAAAAGAAATATTTGATAATAAATTAGTTTAAATCAACAAAGATATTTCTTCAGTTAAAATAGCAGTGTATGTTTTCTAAGAATTTAAAAAGTAATATACACGTATTTAATAATTCAATAAAAATAAATATATGACATTTTATTTTTCTATCTTGAAATAAAATACGTATTGCTTAATTATTGCTTCGACACGTAGTTGACATTGATGTAATACATTTAAAGCCAATTGTGACTAGCGAGTCTTAATCACAATATGCCATATTAAACGTTCATATATAAACATAACATGTGTATAATGAGAAATCATGAACATAATGTGACATAAGCATGGCTATGTTGAAAATCCATTAACGTCATGATATAACATCATGGAATAAATACAGCCGTACTAAGATGGTCAAGGGCTTATACACATTAAATTCTCGAAAAGGTTTTCAAGCTAGTTTAGCAGTTGAAAATATAGCACTTCTTTCACACCGCCCGGAAGTTTACAAGTTTCATCCCAAACCAAACATTCGTCTTGCTGTCTTATTCCTTACTAATAAATAAATAATATGTGTAAAGAGATATTTCATATTATTTTACTGAATGAGAAATAAACGATTGCTCAACTCTTGCGGCCTATTTAAAACAAAAGATATTTAAAAGTTGATCCGAGTGTTTTGCTACAGGTAAAGTAAAAATTAAAGTTTCCCTTTCAAACCTGACGGTCTATGGGGCAAGTGAAGTAGAGTTTCACTTGCTACAGGGTTCAGTAAAAATTAATGAAGTTCTTTGTAGCAACTGGAATAAACAATGTCTGCATATAGGGAAGATATCGAGTTTTATGGGTCCTGGTGTAGTAAGGATGTAGGCCCTTAATTGACCTGGCTAGTGTCTCCTTAATAAGCCAGGTTAATTATCTCTTAATTATCAGGCTAGTGTGTCAGTAAATAGCTCGGCTTGTTTGTCCTTAAATAGCCAGTTTGATTTTTCCTTCAAATGCCAGGTTGATTGGCACTTAAATAGCTGGGTTGATCGTTCCGTACACAAAAACATGCGCATGGGTCCTTAAATAGGCAGCCTATTTCAGCATTGACAATTAGTATTGGCACCAACTAAACGCATTTGCTCATAAAATGTTAATCAGAAAATTCTTTTTCGTCTCGTCCTCAGTATTTTTAAAAAAATTCTTTACCCGGGTTATTTTGGGTTCTATTTGTTAGGTATATATACTAAAAACAAATAAAGGTTTAAAAATGAAACGAAGCTGAAATTAAATAAAGAAAGACTTTACTAATTACTGAGCCGCCCACTATGCTGGTTTAATTAGTTTTCCGAGTTAGGAAAGATTTTCGGTTCGATCAAACATTTGAGAGAAAAGAATCGATACTGTTGATACGACTCTTAAGCTCCTAACAAAATGCAGGAAAAAAACAATTGAAGTGTATGCGTAGTCAGACTTTTTTCATTACATCAGACAGACCTCTTTCCACAGGCAGAACTTTTTTTTTACAGACTTTTAAAAATTTCATCCATAGCCTCAGGCAGACTTTTTTTTTCATTGTCGTTTTCATACTTTTGTTAAAACATTTAAAAATAAATAATCGTCCAGATCTATTAATGCTGGTTCGCATTGTGTCATTCATTCATTGTCAGGTCAACCACATCTAAGGAAAGCAAGTATTGACACTAGGCGCGAACTGAACGCATTCAATCGATGACGTAATAAAAAGAAAATTTACGTTGGGTAACATTTAAAAAAAAAAATTACAACTACTTCAACGCTCTGTTTTTTAAAGATTCCCAAAATATATAAAATGGATTTAGATTTAAATAATAAAATCGACTTTTTGAAGTTAATTTTCTAAATGTATTACTAAGCTACCCTAACCACCACGAATCAGACATACGCAACTAATACGCTGATGTGATTCCCTTCAGATGGTGTTGTAGAAGGGAAGCAGTAGAAGCATCTAGCAGATCGCAACTGTTTGAGCTCGTTTCGTCTGGTGCGTCCAGTTTTGGGAGTCGTCTGCCGACCTCTACTGCTCGTAATAGTCGTACTCTTCTTCTGACTGTGGGCTGGACTCGTTTTGATTGTAGGTCACGTACTTGACTGGGCATTGCTCGTTCATGATCAGACTCTGAGGAGGTTGAATATAAATAATTTATTACTTTTATTGAACTGATGGTGATAAGCCAACAAGAGCAGGAATAACATACTAGATTCAGTGTTTCTTCCAGACTTTTTTCTCCAGGGGGGGGGGGCACTTGATATTTTCAGGGGGACTGTCAACATTTTCCAGGGCGGGGGGAGGGGCCGACACTGGTAAAAGTATGTTTTCTATATAAATTCCATTTCGTTCGAGGGGGGGGGGGGGGACTTTCTTAGCTCCCCCCCCCCCCAAGAAGAGATGCCTGGAAGAAACTCTGACTAGATTTGATACGAACAAAAAGTAAAGGTACTGTAGATAAAAAAAAATATGGAAAAAAGAAAGCTGCTGCATTGGAAAAGAAAATACGCCTAGTGAAAGAAGGATGGTATTAGTGAAAACACAGGTCTTAACAATATACTGAACATCTACAGATCTCTCGGCTGAGCGTTGTTTAAAAAAGAAAAATTCCTATGAGTACTGTGATAACAACATAATCTCTGACAAATAATTTTTCCCCCCTTATCTTGGTATAAAGAACAAAATTCACGAAAGATAAAAAGCAAAATGCATAAACTTATTAAATATTTATAATTGACTTTCAGTGGTGCAGCAGTACTCTACTATAGACTAGAATAATAACACAGTTAACGTTAACTCTTACCATCTTCTCCTCTCTTGCTGGTGGGTTACGGAGGAAGTAGAGTAGGGGTGCGTATAACAAGTTCACAATAGCGATGATCCATAACATCCTATGTAAGAACAAATAATAAAACGTGATACAATTTGATACATTTGATAGATAATCTCAATTAAAAATTAATAACAGAAGGTGTAATTTTTGTAGCTTCCTACTTAAAAGACAAGGTACACTTTTATGGGATCTTAAGTCAAACAACATAACATGTAGTTTCATAGTACATCCTAGTTAATAGCAAATTTATTACAATCAATTATTGACATACAAGCAACAACACTCATTGTGTAACATTTAATCTAGACTTATTACTAAAAATTCCGTTTTATTCTTGTAAAAAATATTTACCAATGAAATCCGATCCTGGAGACTATAGTTCCACTTAGTGCCGGACCTGGTGATTAATTAATTGTTGTGTTAGTTACTTTATGTTTGATTGGGTATTTCTTCAATGCGTCAATCATCTTGTTTGTTTATGGAAATCGTGTGACTTTCAATCAGGGGAGGGAGAGGGTTGGAAAAAATAACTAAAATAGTTTGAAGTTACATAAGTGAGTAATGGATAACCCAGTTTAGTAGGACGTTTTTATTTTTGTCAATATGGGTGTGGTATATTATGAAATGTTTTGAATTCCATTTCTGCATGTATGTATGGTAATAGCTAACTAGTCCAAACTATTGTTAGGAGATCGACTCATAGTAATTCATTTACCATGTCAAAAAATGACTGTAATTACAGAGACGGCTGATTCAAGATAAAACATTAGGTTAGATTAACTCAATTTATGCGTCATCTTAGTTTGTAAGAATGCACGTGATAATTGATGCCGATTTTTTTTATAGGTGATGCTTCTCCCTTGTGTCCATCGTCTACGTGGGGAGAGGAGACCAGGCACATGGGCAACATCTGTCTCTTCTCAACCTGTTGACTAGGCATCTAGATTTTCTTTGACGCAGCCATCGAGTGGTCTATCAGACTAAGGATCTAGTACCTCACAGCTTACCTATAGCGAAGCCCAGACAAAATGCCACGTCTGCGATGGCGTAGACGCTTCCATAGACGGAGACGTGACGTAGGTCCACTAGGTACCCCATGTGTGGCATCATGGAGGAATCCACCATCCCTACAGTGGATATATAGCTCAATGGATATGGACACATACAGGTGTGTGTGGATGTGGATTCATAGAGGCGTGTGTGGAGTAGGATACATAGTGGTGTGTGTGGATGTGGATACATACAGCTAAATGGATATGGACACAGAGGTGTGTGTGGATGTAGATACATACATGACTGTGTTAGCATGTGGATACGTAGAAGCATGTATGGATGTAAATAAATACAGGTAGGTTGATATAGTGACATACAAATGTGTACATGTAGATACACAGGGGCATATGTGGATGTGGGGGTGAGTGGAATGGCACATCCAGTGCGTTGATGCCAAGGGGGGTATGTTAATTTAAAAAAAAATCGACACACTTATATATAATGTACGTATATATATATATATATATATATATATATATATATATATATATATATATATATATATATATATATATATATATATATATGTGTGTGTGCGAAATAATTTAGGAATATTGTACGTGTGTGCAAACGTTTAAGCTGTTGTTGACAGATTTATTTTTACAACACCTTACCAATAGCAAATCCCATTCCGAAATTGGGGGCTATGAGATGGCCGATATTCTTGGAAAATGGTAACTGGGGAATTTCAGAAAATATAATTAGTACTTGATAGAGGTCATTGTTACGTCTTCATATGTTTCAACAATGATGTTGGTTTCCAAAATAGATGTAAATGCACGATTGTTTGGATAATGTACATGACCTATTGAATGCCACGAGGTCCTACTAGGAGAAAGAGCATGATTGTTAAGTCAAAGTACAAGATTATTTGTGTACTTTGCATGACTTCTATGACTCTTTAGCTAACCATATTTAATGATTGTATAATGTGCATGATTATTATAAAAATTAAACCAAAGTAGTCTACATGACTGTTCAAAAGTGCATGACTACCACTGCAAATGTAATACTCACAGCGAAGCAGCACACGGATATAATGAGCATCCCAATCATTGCACTCAACCACCTGAAAACATAGTAGTATTTTGTTTTAAGTACACGCTCAAACTAATCTTTGTTCAACAACTCTTACCTTAGAGTATAATTTTCATCTAGTTAATACACGATAGTTTAAAAAAAAGTATCAGCAACCAATACTTGTTGAATGAGTTAAGCTGGAATGCTCTAAACTTATGTAATATATCAAAAGGCCCTTACCTGCCTATTTTGTGTGCAAGTGGACCGAATAGGTTGGTGCCAATAGCGTAGGATATGCTAGCTGGTAGAAAAGCTATTCCTGTAACGGGAGAAAGTTTATACTTATGTAACATGTTTATATCTATGTAGTGAGCATTGTGTAGCACAAGTTAATACATACTTTATATATCGGCCATTGTGTCCCACATATTGTACATTCTTACATGCTACATTTCGTTTAAGATTCGTCTTCAATGGCTTTGTCATATTTCAGTGACGGGGATATCTTTTTCAATTCAACTATCAATAATTTATACAATTAAAGAACGCTTTTCTAAGAAGGTTACGCCAATACGTTAGTCGAAATGAGTTGGTGTACGAATAGTTTTCCCTCTAAAAAGCTTCAATTAAAATGTGTGCGATAATCGTACGAATAATTTTCTCTTAGTTTCAATTAAAATGTATGCGATAATCAGTGCGATTGGCAACGCGAAATTCTTGAATTCGGTTCCAGCCCACAAGCCTGTTGACCGTCACTGTGTCCATCCAGCTGTGATGAGGACCCAAATCAAATTATCTCAGAGACTATCAGGCGTGAGCTGACCACACGATCTTCTGACACATTCAGGCTACAGGAACATTTACCCTATAGTCGGTCATCACTCAAAAGTATACGCTACGTATAGTTAAAGTGATTTTTAAAAATTGAAATAACTAAACAATGAAAACACTGCAATTTAGTAATTAAAACGTGTAATCATTAATGATGGGTGTTGTTGCGATAGTTTTATCCCAAATCAAGTATACCATTTGTTTAAGTTATTTTAATCGCATATCGACAGGTATTATTGTGATGCAATTCTTTAGAAAGTAATGGAGTACAGAAATGTATGTTTGTAGACGTTTGGCAACATAAAAAACCCAAATATCTAAAAGTTAAAAACCAGAAAACAAAGTTAACACAAAAGTACAGTTATTATTTTGTCCAGCTGATGCAGACCTACATCCAAATATGTCTTTTGTTTGTTTAAATATTTAAATTCATGTTTGTCTTCTGTCAAATAGTTATGGATAAGGCTGTGTCCGCTCACTTAATCCCCAGACACTTAATTCCATAAGCGTAATCCCCTTGTCATTAATCCCTATGCACTTAAACCTCCGACACTCTATCCATTATAAATCATTATAGAATGCTGCGGTAAAAAGGTTAGGGTTAGCATGATTTAAATATTATTAATGTATTTAAATATTTATTTTAAGTGTCAAATTTATTGTGATGTTTATTTAAAAATAGTTATTTGAATTGCAATTAAACTTTTTACTAAGGTCGTAATTGTTATAGTTAAACTTTCATTTTTAGGATTAAGTGTCTCTGGATTAGTGTCTAGGGATTTAAAGCCTAGGAGAATAAGAGTCGGGGATTAAGTGTTTGGAGCTTGCATGCGTTTTTGTTTTTTCGCTTAGTGCAGGGCGGTAACTGTAACTTGATTAGAAAGAAAAGATTCATCCAATAAAGAAAGAAAGTTAAAAAAATAACAGTTTTTATAAAGAAAAAAAAATAGGAAAAAAAACACGTATGAAAGCGAAATTAAAATCACATAAACATCCGCGCATTAGAACGTTTATGAAAGGCTATGCGTCAAAAGTTGATCAGCAAAGTTATTGATCACATTTAGCGATTGATTTCACTGCTGCTACCTATATCGATTACGCTGATAAACTGTAATGACTAATATCGATTTCCTTTATTGCAGCCTCGTATGTTAAACGCATTTAGATGCACTAGATCTAAAATATATTGGCTCAACTTATTTCCCCCTTGAGAATATCGAACACATTTTTCAATAAACTTTTATATAAAGCAACAAAGGTGTGAAATGCTTTACAAAAGGAGGAGAAAATAAAACGGCAGAGTACTTTCAGTATAAGCTTGTAGCTAGAAGGTAAAAAAATGTGAATGTAAGACGCACAACACAGTCATCCATATAAGAAATACGCGATATATTCACATGTGTTTACATGTGTCTAGTACACAATTTTCAAAATACGTTGTATATTTGATGCACAGACTCGATTCATTCTAGTACTCTGCATTTCCAATTAGGAGCCCAAGTAGCATATGGTGTGATTTATAAGAGGCAGAACCCCTTTTATAAATTAAATAAAAATTATTACCAAACTGATAGAGTTAAAAAAATGATTTTAGTTTCGTTTAAAAGGAACAAAGAGTAAGGAACTGTTAGCATTTACACTTAAATAATTTAAAAAAAAATCATGATCATAAACAATTCGAGAGATATAGAATTTTTGTTAAAAAAAGTATTTCTTTTATGTAGTTTTAATTGATCCCAGTTAGTTGCATATCTACTTCGTTCATACACCAGTAATTGATCTGAGATTTTATTGAAACCATGCACTGTCTAATTATCAAATAGTGTCTGTTTTTAGACTGCTCTGTTGAAATTGTTTTCAGGTAAACCAAATTAAACAATTTGCAATATGCAAATTTAGTTTAATTTAAGAGAACAACATAAACGATTCGTGACAAATAGTTATACGGAGAGTACAGGAGTGGAAATGTTGAATCTGTTGTAACACTTATAGAATGAGAAGGGGAGGGGGAGGTATTGAGTGGCGGAATCGATTGTTTGTTATCGCTGCATCTTTAGCAGGTTCGTGAGTTCGAGTACCTCTTAAGTAATCGTTGATTTTATATTTAGCCTCAAGGTTGGCACTAATGTTTAGATAATGGCCTTTTCGTGCAAATAGTTAGTGTTCTATGTATAGAGTTGGTGGTCTATGTGTAGAGTTAGTGGTCTATGTGTAGGGTTGGTGGTCTATGTGTAGTGTTGGTGGTCTATGTGTTGAGTTGGTGGTCTATGTGTAGAGTTGGTGGTCTATGTGTAGAGTTGGTGGTCTATGTGTAGAGTTGGTGGTCTATGTGTAGAGTTGGTGGTCTATGTGTAGAGTTGGTGGTCTAGAGTTGGTGGTCTATGTGTAGAGTTGGTGGTCTATGTGTAGAGTTGGTGGTCTATGTGTAGAGTTGGTGGTCTATGTGTAGAGTTGGTGGTCTATATTTAGAGTTGGTGGTCCATATTTAGAGTTGGTGGTCTGTGTGTAGTTACACTTTGTGTTGTTGTGGAATTTCTTTGCTTTGGCGTGCAAATAAACTTTATAATGGTTTATTGAAATACGATCGATATATATTATATACACCTCTTCTTGAATCTATGTAAAATATCACAGAACTTAAAGTTAACCTCAAAGCCCAAAATGTTAAGCTACTTTAACAACAACTGAAAGAGCACAATTTAACCCATATAAATAACTGACAGAATACACACTGATTCTAACAACGTACCTTGTTGCCATTCCGACGAATGCATGGTTTTGTACATCCAAATGGGTAATGAAGGTTCCATCATGGCAATACCCATGTTACCAAAAGTTATCGTTCCTGGTTTTGAAATTTGAGAGAAACGAAAGAATTATATAATTGATTTAATTGTGGCATAGCTATCGCAAACATGGACTTAATAACACGTATGTCTGTAGAAAATAAAATATTCATTATGTCTATTGAATCTGTATTTTTTGTAAATGGTGAGTTGGGTACAATGTTCATTTTAAGCTCCATCAAAGCAGTTAAAAAAAAAGACCATACACACTATTTTCACGAGTAGATTTAAACCTAATGCTCTAGTAAATTCACTCAAATTCTGTTAATGAGCTTTACATTTTAGATTCGAACACCTGTTGACCAAAGTAATTTTGTCGTCTCTATGACGTGTGTTGAAATTGTCTAAAGGTCATATCGTCGTTTTATCACTATGTTGAAATGGTCTATAGGTCGTATTGCCGTTTTGTTACGTGTGTTTAAGTTGTCTAAAGGTTATATTGTCATTTTATCACGTATGTTGAAATTATCACAAGGTTATTTTGCCATCTTAATGACGTATGTTGAAGCTGTCGCAACATATCAACCCAAATGTTCTAGAACCAATAACTTACCGGCACAGATCAAGATGTACGGATCACGGAGCAGTTCTTTGAAAGCCGTCCCTTCCTGGGATTCCGGTTTTACAGAAGGTTGTAGAGCCAGGAGCTGGAGACCTTGTTGACACACAATGGGTGTGTTAAAATTTTTTAAACAGTTTATTCTGTTTTCTGCTCTATTTTTGTACACAACACACAAGGCTACTATCTTATGTGACACACACACACATGCACACACACTCACTTACACACACATCTTAATAATGATGCACATACACATACGTACATAAGGAACACTCACACACAAACATACAAACATGCATATATATATATACATATATATATATATATATATATATGTATATATATATATATGTATGTATATATATATATATATATTAAATATATTATATGTATATATATATATATATATATATACATATATATATATATATACCTATATATATATATATATATATATATATATATATATCTATATCTATATCTATATCTATATATATATATATATATATATATATATATGAACATATAGGCCTATATATATATATATATATATATATATATATATATATATATATATATATATCTATATCTATAAATCTGTGTGAAATTCTACATTTGTGTGTGAATTGAACAGAAATGTCGGAAAATAGAAGTTCATAAATAAATTAGATGGATAGTGCCTGCCATATGAGACGTATGATACAATGTCTGATGTTTGTAGAGCTCTCCAACTATGAAATAAGGAAACGATGGTACTCACAACCGTCCAGGAATGCGAGCGCTGCCAGAATGAGAAACGGCGCCTCCTTGCCAGCAAACTCGTACATGACACCCCCAAACGGCGGACCCACTAGAGGAGAGTAATAAGAGAAATTGTGTTTGAGAGTGTTTAATTTTACCTCACCCAGGGTTGGTTGAGGCAGGGAGGGAATGGTTGGCTTAATCATAAATCATAAATGTTATAGTGCAAAATTATTTCAATAATATGTTATGTTGCAAAAATAGTTTCAATACTCAGAAATGTCTTGTTGAAACTAATACATTGGTATGTTAAAAAAAAAGAATAACATAATAATAATGATGATGATGATGACGACAATAATGATGTTGATGATGATGGATATTGCGACATTGGTGACATCATTGATTAAGATAATGAGGAATTAGACAATGGAAATGTCAAGCAATAATACTTCGTGTTCAGGTTTCGTTAATGACAGTGGGTCGAAAGTTACATAACCACACACAACCACACACATACACAAATATACACAATCACTCAAACCACACACAACCACACATAACCACACACAAGTACACACAACTACACAACCACACACAATCCCACTCAACAACACTTAATTACACACAAACACATACAACTACACAACCACACACAACCACACACACCTACTTACCCAGAACTCCTAAGGCCAAGCCACCGAGCGCTATACCCATAGCATTCCCCCTCTCCTTATCATCGGGAAAATAAGAAGCAATCATCCCCATACCTGTATGTACAGTGGTGATATGTACATAAATCACGAATAGTCTTTATAGTTGTATATGATTCAATAGCATACGATTTGCACATAATTAAGTAGGCAAAAATAAAATTAACAGCGTAACTGATTTATACAATCTATGATAGTGAAAACAAAATCTAAGCTGAAAGATGAAAGAAGATCAGTGACCTGCGACACTGGAACACGATGACCCGATGCCCTGGACAGTTCTGGCAGCAAAGAGAACGGCGTAGGTTTCTCCAAATGCAAAAACTGAAAATCATGCAAAGTGTTTTGTTTTTAAAACTGATAAAATATTTGTTTCCAAGCGTGAGAGAGGTAAAATATCCTTGAAAATAGTTTTAGTTTATTCCCTAGCATAAACGCGTAGATATCCCCAAACTCAAAAAAAAAATGAAAATCATGCAAAGTGTTTTGTTTTATAGCTGATAAAATATATTTTTTCCAAGCGAGAGACAGATAAAATATCCTTGAAAATCTTATGACATTTATTCCCCTCCGTGTCAACAAAAGCATAACTAGAAATCTATGTGAGTGTATTATTGAAAGTAAAGAACAAGCAGCAGTACATTGCTGATTAAATATGTGATTTGAACGAACCACTAAATTAATGTATGCGTAACTTAGTGATGGTAAATACAAAAATGTGAAATGAAATTTATTGATGGTCGATACAAAATTATGAAATGAAACTTACTGATAGTCGACACCATCATTATCACAAAGCCTGTAAACATCGGTATGGTATAGCCAACCCTGAGGTTAAAAATTTTAACTGTGATTAAGATAATCTAAAAACTTGGTAATTGAACATAATTTAAATAAAACAAACAGATATAAAATGCGATTTATTCCCAACAAATAACAATTCAGTTTATAAATGATACCCGTATTTTTCATAATTCAAGGCAATAGGAAGTAAATTACTCAACCCTAAAAAATTATCTTTCACCCTTAATTTCTTTTTTGCTGGTTTTCCAAGCAACAACAGATGTAATTAACCCTTGTTACAGGCTAATAGATTAATTAACGTTTCAACATTCAACATTACTAAAGTAATTATCGACTGTTAAAACTGGTGCGTTTGTACAGAATTTGGGGTTAATATTATGGTACTGTATCTGTTATAACCACAATCTGCTAGTAATTGGCGAAATGAAAGAGTTTGGTACGAGCTTTAGAGGCAAGTGTGATTTTCACTTTAAAATATATATCTGTTAGTAGTTGACCCAATGAAAAGGTTTGATTTGTCTTTAGAGGCTAATACGAATCTGAAGATTGTATACCTGTTAGTAATTGGCCCAATGAAAGGATTTGCTATGAGCTGCATGATAGCCTTAGAGGCAAACATGAATCCCACTTCGATATTCTCGGCATCCAAATCTGCCCGTCTTGGCGATTTCTCCGTCACGGTCAAGAAGACCCCGGACAAGTTGCGCCACACGGACTCGTTGTAGCACTCCTCGTGTGTGGTCAGATGGCCGTACGCATGCGCGTAGTAGCGCGGGGAGTCCTTGAAGCGATCCCAGACCAAGCCAGGCCCAAACGAAAGGTTGCTGTGAGGGGGACCGGATGTGACGTTGAGACACCTGAGTTCCATTACCGGCGCCTCTGTGATGCCCAAATCTGCCTTGGAGCGGTTGACCTCTACGTAAGGATTTTCTAATTTTCTTAGAAAATTCGGCACGATAGGCACTGTTCAAAGATACAAGACCAAAATTAAACGAAAATCAAATGAGCTAATTGAAAATGATCATTAATAGATATAAACTATAATATTTTTTAATAAAAATATTTTGCATCAAACTACGTTATATTCTTCTCAGTTCACGTGCTTTTGACGGCGAGTACACCTTTCATCTACTTCACACTTTCAAGTGCTTATCACAGTGAGTACACTACTGATTAATCACTCAGATCACGTGCTTGTAACAGTAAGTACATTACTGACCTATTTCACATAGTTCACGTTCTTGCCAAATGAGAACACCCCTGACCTAATTCACATAGTTCACGTTCTTGTCCAATGAGTAGGCCTACACCCCTGACCTAACCACACATTTCACGTACTTGCCAAATGAGTACACCCCTGACCTAACCACACATTTCACGTGCTTGTCAAATGAGAACACCCCTGACCTAACCACACATTTCACGTACTTGCCAAATGAGTACACCCCTGACCTAACCACACATTTCACGTGCTTGTCAAATGAGTACACCCCTGACCTAACCACACATTTCACGTGCTTGTCAAATGAGTACACCCCTGACCTAACCACACATTTCACGTGCTTGTCAAATGAGTACAACCCTGACCTAACTCACACATTTCACGTGATTGTCACAGTGAGTACACTACTGACCTACAACCGTGAGCAACATGTTGTCCAAAAACAGGGCCACAAAGACGATGACCAGGACCAGACGCCGCGAGTGCCGGAACTTCTGGAGCGCGTCCCATGGTCGGTATGACGTCATGGCAGGTATACATGCGTGGCCTGGACGGCTCTTTGACCAGAGCTGTTAATCTGTGGGGAGAGAAGTTGGTACAGTTAATCTATGGGGAGAGAAGTTGGTACAGTTAATCTATGGGGAGAGAAGTTCGTACAGTTAAACTATGGGGAGAGAAGTTGGTACAGTTAATCTGGTGGGGAGAGAAGCTGGTACAGTTTATCTGGTGGGGAGAGAAGCTGGTACAGTTAATCTATGGGGAGAGAAGTTCGTTAAGTTAATTTATGGGGAGAAAAGTTAGTACAGTTAATCTATGGGGAGAGAAGTTGGTACAGTTTATCTGGTGGGGAGAGAAGCTGGTACAGTTTATCTGGTGGGGAGAGAAGCTGGTACAGTTTATCTGGTGGGGAGAGAATTTCGTACAGTTAATCTGTGGGGAGAGAAGTTGGTACAGTTAATCTGTGGGGAGAGAAGTTGGTACAGTTAATCTATGGGGAGAGAACTTCGTACAATTAATCTATGGGGAGAGAACTTTGTATAGTTAATCTGGTGGGAGGGAGAAGTTCTTATAGTTAATCTGGCTGGAAGGATAAGTTCTTATAGTTAATCTGGTGGTCTGATTTAATCTACACATTTGCGACCCCCATAAAATGATTTGTGACCACTAGGCGTCGTAGCCTGATAGACTGGGAACCCGTGCACTACAGTTTATGCATATTCTAAAATGTATGTAAGTACAGTTAATTTGTATTATAAAACAATTAATAAAATTGTTAGTATATCTCTGTCCAGTACCCTGATATAAAGCGTAATGTTAAAACATTTACATTTTTAAAAAAAGTATTTATTTGTAGTGTTTACTTCCCATCTAGAATTTCAAATCAACCAAGGGATACAACCTACAACTGTTTTCTAAAAACCATTAAAAAAGAGATACTCAATAAAATTAAAATAATGATTTATAATTACATAAATAAATAAACATAACATATAAAGGTTTTCCATAACTGCTTACTTAATCTTTTTAATTTATGTAATAAATTTTTTATTATTCAACTAGTTTAAACAGAAAAGTGTTAGTTATCTTAAATTCATAACTTGTAAGCACGAATAGTTGCTCCTTATATGTACTATAATACCCGCTTCGTCTTGTCTCTAAAATATAAAAACAAAAATGCTTAGCAAAACGTTTAGATCTAAATAACAAATTATAAAAGAGAAAGTAAATGTGTTTCTTTAACTATAATATATATTAGATAACTTTTCTAATATTTAGGAAGAGACCCACTCTTTTTAAAATAGTAATTTAAATAGTATTTCATTATTATAAACTGAAAGAAAATAATTTATTTTCCTCTTTTAGGTTAGAAATACCCGAATTTTCGCTCGCCCGCTTCGATTCAGGACGACAGATAGATAGACAGACTGGCGAGAGACTGACGACAGAGGAAGCAAGTTAAATAAAAGTTTTCAAAAAGTAGAAAACGGAAGACTGCAAGCACACAACTAAGTGTTGTTCATCATAAAACGCGTTTATAATAGACAACTGTAAACATTTCTATCGGTAAAAAAGTACAAATCTCCTGCTCATCTAAACAGCCCCGATAGAAAAGTTTTTCTTTTCCATTTCATTACGATTTTCTTTAATTTAACCTTTGAGTATTTCCAATGGATTGATTTGACCAAAACACACACACACACACACACACACACACACACACACACACACACGCGCGCGCACACACCCACACACACACAGAGACACACACACAGAGACACACACACACACACACACAGACACAGAGACACACACACACACACAGACACACACACAGACACACACACACACACAGACACACACACACACACACGCACGCACACACACACCCACACACACACCCCCACACACACATATATATATATATATATATATATATATATATATAAAATATAAATATAAATATATATATATATATATATATATATATAAATATATATCTTAAAGAGCAAAAATATCAGTTCGTATAAAAATTATCTTTAATTTTCTTTGTATCTGCTAAATATTTTATACAAGTTTAGAAAAATATTAAAAATAAGCTGAGCCAACCTAATAAAAACCAGATACCCCACCTTACTATCGATTGATTTGACACTTAAACGCTAATAGTATAAAAATACTCCATTTGGAACCTGAGTCGCAAAGAATCCAATGTAGCTCGTGGGCTGGGCAAATTGGCCATTCAACTAGAACAAAAATGAAAGATATCGGCGGAATCAATCAATGCTCTGATTAGCATCGACACGATTTGTACATTTCTAGGGATAATTGTTCCTGATCATGATCAGCGATGCCAGAATATTTTAGACAAAAACTTTTAGGTACCAACGTATTAAATGTTTCAAAAATGTTACAGGTTTAAGAAATCATTAATCATTTTTTTTTCAAAATCGATTTTTACACAACTTCCATCAACACACTGCCCAAACTATTGTTTAAATTTGTCTTTTTAATGGCATTTATATGTTTGCAGTTTTTAAAGAGCATAGCTACAGTTCACATGGTATAGATATATATTATGTATTTTTAAATCAAAGCTTATTCTTATAAACTCACGTTGTGATTATTCGTTAGTATTTTACAGTTGTAGAAGCGGAAAAAGCTATTGACCAACCAGTGAGCTGTGATATAACGGGGTCACCTATAGACCACAAAATGCAGTCTGAACAAGTTGGTTATATATAGCATTTGTCTATATCGTCTATATATATATATATATATATATATATATATATATATATATATATATATATATATATATATATATATATATATATATATATATATGTCATACAACTAAATATATATATATATATATATATATGTCATACAACTAAATTTTTTAATGAGTGAATTTGTGCGTTAGGCCCATATGTTCATACACATTAAGTAGTAAACGAGTGGGTTATATTTATATGTCCATCAAATTTAATGAGTGAACGTATGGGTTGTATTCCTATGACCATAGAACTAAATGAGTGAAGGTAGGAGTATGTATGTCCATACAAACAAAACTCAGCACTCTGACACCAGAAATCTTATTGTAAAACAACTGCAGCTTAAATGAACATTAACTGATACTTGTTAAACTTCATACAGTAGCACATCTTAATTAGCCGCTGTTGATTAAGTAGTTAAGTAAATTAGTGCAACAAGGCATATTAAAATATTGCCTGAGTGTAATGTGTGAATTATTTGATTTGAGTGTTTTTATGTACGTGAATGCTTTACTTAAACTTGAATGAATGATTTTGTTGAAAAATGTTGGTATGTTGCTTTTGAAAGAAAACCCTCTATTATTTAAAAATAAACCGGGAGTGATCTCCCCTAAACTTTCTCGAATATTCTTATATAAAATAACAGGGGATGGGAACTCGGGCTATAGACATGATTTTTAATCCATTTTAAATACTTAAAGTTTTAAAAATAGAATAAAATCTCGTAGACAAATTAATTGCACACCAAGTGAACGCGAAATAAAAAAGCGCATAATAGTGCGCAATATTATTATTACTTTTAAAATTTACATTAGTTTTTTTGAGAAATCGGAAGTAGCGTAAAGTACTACTTCCAGTCAACGGAAATTACTCAAAATTTAATAGAAGGTAGAGAATTAGATCTTTTACTTACGTATGAAATTTCATTTATCTATCTGAAATAGTACTCAAGTTATAGGCTTTTGAAAAATTCAAAGTAGGAAAAGTACCACTTCCGGTTATCGGAAATCGCTCAAAAGTTGATACGGATCTACGATTTTGATTAAATACTTATATATGAAATTTCATCAACCTAGCTGTAACGGTACTCAAGTTATCGTGTTTACACACGGACACACACACACACACACACACAGACACACAGACATACGGACAAGATTGCAAAAATATGTTTTTCCGTATCAGTGAGGTGTAAAACGTCGAGATTTGCAAAAATCTCGATTTTTTTTTTGCACGATTACAAGACTTTCTCTATACTTCGTATATACGAGAAAGTAAAAAAGTACATAAAGCTTATACAAAAATTAAATTTACTATTGTTTGAAAAGACGATTCAGAGCCCTTACTTTTTGGGGTCCTATGATGCTGCTCTTTCCACCCTCACCTTATTTTAATGACAAAATATCTTGACAGGATATCTTATGGAAAAAACAAATATGTCATGGAATCGTTCTGATTGTACATGACATGCTACACTGTAAAGTGTTAATATTTTGTACTTGCTAGTGCATTTTGTCTTTAATTAAGATTTAATCTCTAATAGGAATGCACGATACCTTTTATTATGACATTTATTGTAAACAATTTGCAAAAAAACAAAACAAACAACACTTATTACATTGTAACAACACATGTACAAGCGTTTACAAAATTTCATTGAGTTGTAGTATTGATAGATAAGTACCACTAATGTGTAAGTAGTACTGATCTGGTAGTACTTTAGAAGCTTGAGTACCATCGATCTTCGCCATTGATCTGTGAGTTCAATCGATCGCTCGCCATTTGCGACGTTTGATCAGTTCACACGTCACTTAGAGCAAATTTAAAGAATCGAGTACCGCTTCCGGTCCGCCATCTTCATCAGTCACGTTGTCGGTTGGTGAATGCAGCCAATCAGCGAGCTGTGAGCCTCGAGTTGACTGGCTGTCTCAGTCCTGTTTGTCTAGGCGTCAGTCTCTGTCTGCTTGGGTTAGGCGCGGAATTTAAACTAACCGTATAGTTATAGGGGCCCTTAAATCCAAGAGGCGCACTTAGGGATATATATATAGGCCATATATATATATATATATATATATATATATATATATATATATATATATATATATATATATATATATATATATATAATCAGTATTTGATGATAGTGGTGTCGGCTGTTCAGCAAATTTGAACAAAGATTGAGTTCGGAGTGGTCGGGTCGGTTTACCTCATGGTTGATGCTAAACCAAAAAGTACTGAGTTCGAACCCTCGGGCAGATGCAGCTCGATATCTGGAGACAGCCACTCATCTGGTAGAGACAAC